AAAGCTTGATATTACAGTATATTAAATTACTATAGTTTGACGGTTGACGGTTACACTTATACTTCACTATACTTATATATGGAGCTTTAGAAAGCTCTTACACATTTTTGTCACGAGCTCTCCGTCTATAGAATCTGGGTAAGGTCTGGGTGTGGCGGTACTCACGTTATATATACAGTAAAGTTTATATAAGTAGCCAAGTCAAATCTCGAATTTTATACACAGAACTTAGATCTCCATTCTGTTTGTTTTTTTTTTCTCTATTCTTATTGGTTAAATTGACAGAGACCTAATATATGAATAATGCTTATCGCTTACAAGACAGAACAAATATATGTATATTGGATTTTGTTCTCATTTCACATTTGTGTTTTGATATTATTCATATTCGAATTATTACATATAATATATTACACCTACCTTTCATACTTTGTTGTTAATTATTAATTTATCATTAATTATTTTTATTTATTTACCTAATAACATTTAGAGATCTATAAGAAGAGCTAAAGAAATATAGACATACTTGTAATACGTTATACCTATACCGGAATTATTGTCTTATTCTATTTCTGTAACATGACAACGCTTACGAGATGAAGCATAATCAAAGTCCATTGATTTCCCTCAGGACCGTATGTGTCGTCAACAAACCTCAGAGATGTCACAATATCTTATAAACATATGAACGATAATAATAAGGAACGAATTTTCCTGCTAATTATTTGTTAGAGCTATTTATTTCTATTTGATGAAAAATCAGCAATTTTCTAAAATGTATATCCAGTAATTTGTTATCTTCAGGATATAACTAGCATGGGTAACACAGGATGCGAAAATGGAGGCGCCATTCGAAGAATAAAGAGATATGACGTTAATTTCGCTGCTGAGAATAAATCGAATGTTACATCCAATAAACTAACCGTTTAAATTATTAGAACCAGTCGTATGAATATCACGTATTTTTTCTTCGTTCGACAAATGATTTGTCATTGATATTACGACGACTAACCTAGCGTTAGTTATCAAAAAATATTAGAGATATTTTTGTAATAAGTTTTGGGTACTGTTTGGTAGATGTTGTCTTCCTGTTATTTTACTCGTAAGTTGCATAAAAACTATAAAATGACTACATCATAGTCCGAATTAGAATCCTCAGCAAATAGAAATTATATCTAGGTTAGATACATTATGTGAGACACGTGCGTGAAAAATTTTAATCACTTCACACTTAAGTCTGAGCACGTCATTAACTTTTTAGATTGTTTTAAAAAATATCTTTCCACCAGCGGTTTTCCTATCATATGAACCATGCTCTTGAATCACTCTGAATAATAATGAAATCGCATTAATATTCGTTGTGTAGTTTAAAACAGCCGCAACGTACAGACAGCGGGAAGCGACTTTGTTGTTTATTACAAACATTCTAAAGATTTTGTTATTTGGCTTGACCTGGCCCTCTACCCTCAAAATCGATATTTGTTATAACGTGGAAAGTTTCGTCGTGTTTTCTGCTCTAACCTCTTGTATTTTTAATGTCATGGGGTAGAACAGCGCACGAAAATATGATGTTATCAACAGAAGATTTTAAGACAACCCTTAGCTGTAATGTTCCTTCAGAATCTGTAATCAGTACAAGCAACGAAAAGTTTAAAGTAGGACATTCAATTGTGTGTTTATTTTAAAAGAAACTATACTGAATTTGAAAGTATCATTCATTATTTCAAGTTGTTCACATGTAACTTAAGTGAGTACTTAAGGCACACAATAGGTTAAATTATTTTAACCGAATATTACTGGAAGTACTGGAATTACTGGAAAAACTTAATATTACTGGAAGAAAAGTTGGTAATGTCTCTTCTATCCCCAAAGTTCTCACAACTTTTGCCACAGTATTAATTTTTAATAATATAGAATGTTGCAACTTAGATTTATAAAATTTGTGATTTCTTTGCAACGTCTCACTTAATTCTTACTGAAACCTATGAAGGTACGTCTTCTTCAAAATTATTTAGAGGGTTATAACACATACACTATATTAAATTTCCACAATCGATATTGAGTTCTAACTTCAACGTAATTCGGTTTAAAATTAAGTAAATTTAATAGTTTTGTTTATGTTGATGTGTTATATACTGTACATAAGAGATTATATAGAAAATTCGCCGTTATTCTGTTTGTAGTAGACTTGTGTACTTTAAGAATGAATCGTACAATTTAAGAACTCCACTTCGCACAAAAATCTCCTTAAGAAGTGTAGTCCTATCGATATTAGTTTATTGGTTATTTTGTTATATTTTGAGAGAATATATATCAAACGGATAGATGTAGAAATTGCGGGCGAAGATACGTGGCCGTTTGTCGATTGTTAATTTACAAGAGATGGACATATCATTATTTAAGTTTATATTGCTTATTGATAAAATTAGTACGTTAGTAATTATGTACAGGAAATATTAATTCATCATCATCATCAGCACTTTTAGGTACCCACTGCAGGGTCCCAGGCCTTCACGCCCTCTACGCTGACCCAATGTGGATTGGAAGGTATTAACGACTGCAAATGCAGCCGGGACCAAAGGTTTAACGTGCCTTCCGAAGCACGAAGTAACGCGAGATAATAAGTTTTTGGTCACCCATCCCGTAACGACCCTTGCGAAAGTTGCTTAACAACAACGATCAATTATAATTAATAATTAATTGTATCTTTCTTTATCTTAATACCATACTACTGGTGGGGTACCGAACGCCACAATGTACGGTCCTTACATTCATCATTCGTCTCATCCACTTTCATTACTCTTTTCATATATACTCGCTGGTTTTTATTGCTTTTGACATCATTTTATAATAGCACATGATTATTTGATCGTGAAAGTTGTGTTGTGGCCTTCCAGCTTCTGTATCCTTCTACATTTACATCTTTCCGCATTCGGAGCGAAGAAATAAATATGACTACCCACTTGATTATATACTAAAAAGAATAATTACGTAAGTAGTTTTTTCAAAGAGGTCGAAGTTTACGCGTACTTTTTTAACTAGTAAACTTATAATTTTCCTTTTCAAAGCGAAATTAAAATTGCCTTTCAAGTGAAAGTAACAGTTGGTCGTTAAAAATTTATATCAAAGAGAATTTTTTGCTTTGTTTTCGTTATGCTTTTGCTTTAACAAGAGTTACATTTGAGCCACGCTGCTTGCCTACATGGACAGGTAGATAGTAGCACTTCATATATTTGGTAGACATACGGAACGGATCGGATGGCGCAGGATGGGCCGGTCATAGATCACCAATCCGCTCTGGGCCTTTTATATGCCCATCTGTAGCATAGATGATAACCATTAGCTAGGGTATGGATTTTATACCCTAGCTAAATGGTTATATTTTTTATATACCCATCCCATCCCATACCCATTTAAATGGGCGTATTTTTTATATACTCATCAAGTTAAATACACTCACTCTCATACCAAATTGAAAATTGGTGGCTGGCGGTTCATCCAAAATACCATTTGTCAACTATGTGTCATCAGAGTAGCTTCATATAATATGATTTTAGGAATAATTATATATAATCATTGAATAGTTTAATAAGATAATAATGTCACCTCAGAATAAAAATATACTTTTGAATAGCGTTGAAAGAACAACAGTTATCCAAATAATTTATCTTAATAATATCTTGTACATTAAATAAGTAGGAACCATTAACTAAATATAACAACAGTCAGAGTGACAGTGTTATTACTTACAAACGTGAACTAAACGTCTGTACACCACGACGAATCCACGTATAATGAGAACGGACTGCTCTCTGTAACTGTATTTATAGAGGGTAGCATCACTTTTATGGGTTGCCTCATACATAATGGTAGTTGCGATGCTATATATTGTAAGACAAAAGTATTATGAAAAAAAAACAGTAAGAATTAGGTATTAAACACCAGCAATAAGATAAACAGAGTCTATTTCGGAGTTAAAAGTACGACCCTACAAAAATACGAAAGAACGAACAAAAAAGCATATATTTAAATTAAATTAATTCTTTGCTTCATATAGAATTCCAAAAGTCGACTCTGAATTAAATTATAAAATAATTGTTATGCAAATCTACAAGAAACTAAAATAATTTAAGTATTTTTCTAAAGATTTATATAATTTAAAAACTAAAAATTTTTATATTTTCGGTGAAATAATTTTGATTTAGGTTTTTATATTTTTTAAGAAATGATCGTAAGCCTTTGCGTTACATTTATTTTCGGGAGATTAGGGAACTACACCGGAATAACCTGCGTATATTATTAACTTAATTAAATAAATACATATAAGCAAACATCAACATTGCCTAGATTCCAAGATTAGTTAAATTCTCCGTATTATAAAGTATTTGAGGCACCGAAAAAATTTAGTAAAATTCATTTTTTACATTGACCTGACCGAAAATTGAACGCCGGACCTCAGTTAGTGACACCTTAGAACCGGTATGCAAACCAGTCGGCTCTGGAGGTCGTCAATTAACATATTATGAATACTTAAATTATGCGCGATATATTTAAAGACGTCTATTTATGTAATGGTTGAAAATGATGGAAGTATTGATTATGCAAACTTTGTTCGCCTTGTATTAAGCTACTGCTTGCTATATTTAATTCAGTGTGTGACCTTTTATGAAAACATACGTACACTCATACATAAAAGCCCGAGAATTATCATTTATTTACTGACTAGAGGTGACGATGTTTACCAAACTGTAGGTTAGCTTATTGTTTATGTATGATACGGTGGAACTAGACATTTGTTTGACAGTTTAATATTAATGTGCCTTTACAACGCGATATTAGTTTATAAATATATACCCAAATAACACGTATCCGATCTATTAAAATTACATTGTTTGTATTTACAGTTACGTCTAATATTTCATATGTGGTTTTCTCTATATTTACTTGGAAATGAAAGTTATTTAAAAAAATACCGCTTGAAATGTATTGTAGCAACCTAAATGTCGAATGTCATAAATAGAAAGGTATTTATTATACTCGAGTAGGACGTGGCTGCCTGTAAGTGGAAATGTTACGCGGTTAAATAGAGAGTACGATCGTAGTAACTCAACAGTTCTCTCTACTCCCGCATGCATAGTAAAATACCATAAAATACACAAAGGAAAAATACAGACAGTATATTTTCGTATAATAGAATCAAATCAATTTTCTTATCGAAAGATAAAAGTAATAAAATATAACATGAAGTATTATAAGCAGATAAATGAGATGACACCCTGATCTTACTTGTCGAAGAAAGGCTCGACGCTTTGCTAACGTACTTTGGTATGAAACTTCATTGACGTCATATCACTTTAAGATTGTTTCGTCAAATAAATAGGTTCAGTTATCTTGTATAATTCAAAACTTTTTGTGAAAACGAAAAAGGTATGTGAATTAATTATTACTTGAAGTACCTTTCAACACAAAAGCGAATGAGTCTGAAAGGCAAGTAAAAGTAATTGCCACTTTTACTTTACTGCCCGACAATAAAGTCTGTATTTATTTGCCGGCTATTTTGAGGTAATAAATCCTTACAAACACCGCTATAATATAAGCCTGCATTTTACAGACCGAGACATAAGGAAGTGCTGTATTACAGCTTATGTTCAACAATTTAGCTTGATAGCATTGCAGTTATTTTTTATTTCGTTCTATGTTTATTTATTATGTCATTAATTAAAGCCTATAAATGTCCCCATGCTGTTGGTTAATAGACAGGCGTTCCGTATGATAAAAATATATACGTAGATATATGAGTCTTAATCAGACTGTCGTGTTTAACACAGATGCAGCAGGAATTAAATATTGACATAATTTGAATTGTAATTAAAATTTTGGTCATCCATTCGATGGCAGACAGGCTGCGTTAAAAATTATTCCGACGAGACCCTTATTTTCACTTTTAATGTGTGGATACCTACGTATTAGTTGTATAATAGAAAATAATATATTGAGTAAGAAACAGAAAGAGAAATAAAACCTCAAATAAAAAATCTCTAAATCCGTCCGTCCGTCTAAAAATTGTGACATTTTAATACTCGAACGAATATCATATAAGAACATTATAACTCCTGTTGACATAAATTAATAATAATAATAATATTTATTAGGCCACAACGAAACAAAATACGTGTTTTTCTAAGCTTATCATATACTGTACCTTAGTTAGCCTTTGCTGCTGAACTGCGTTAATACCAGTCTTTCAGCATATAGCGCCCCAAAACCTCATGTTCTTAGTTTTACTACATATATTTTAAGCAGATAAGTTACACTGAAATTTGTTTCTCATATTTAGTACAAATTTAACCTAACCCATAGCGTAACTTGATAATGGATGTCAGTATCTTTGTGTTGAAGCGCTGTAAATGTTCGAAAATAAATACTAAATGATAACTTTGATATCTATAGTTACGAATAAATAAAGACTTATACGAAGTTTTTTTGAATAAATATAAATATTATTTTGTTGGGAAAGGCTTTACTCGGAAAGATATAAATAAAATTCGCACAGTTATTGTATTTTATTGCTTGCTAGTTTTTTTCTATATACAGTGCATATGACTGAATCATATAAACTCAATATAAAAATGAGGTGAAACTATGAGGTCAAACTAATATCTTAAAGTATGATGGTTCTTTTTTTATATTTTACTGCAACATAAAAAAAAAACAAAAATTGTCTTGAAATGCACTGATAACAAGCCTTCATTTATTAGCATGTTCGCTAATATGGACAATATAATAAGTTTGAGTTTTGTTTGCAGGTGTTGGGTTCTGAAACAGAATGGCACTTCGCCCACCGCGGATTGCCGCATGCGCGCACACGTCGCTCTATTGCGCATACGCGTATGCTTAAGCAACATCCACTTGTGAGTACCTAATTTTTATCATTATATATACAGGGTGAGATTACAATTGGTGCACATTGTTTTTATTTACAGTTTATTAGGATTCCATGTTGGCCATTCGGCTAGGGAACCCCAAGAGAATGTGATATTCCGTAACAAACATTATATAAAATTTGATGCATTGATTGATTTCCTGTTTTCATTATATTTGATCAATTTTGCATTCACAATGCCATACTGAAAAATATTCTTAATGAAAAATGCTTATAAAACATTGATGATAGAATGTTTTTTTACACAGGCAGAGCCCTTGAGTAGCTCGGTGGCGTAGTGGATAAGCGCCGCGGCCCACGATCGTTGTCGTTAAGCAACTTTTGCAAGCGTCGGTCACGGGATAGGTGACCAAAAAATTATTATCTCGAGCTACTCCGTGCTTCGGAAAGCACGTTAAGCCGTTGGTCCCGGCTGCATTTGCAGTCGTTAATACCCTCCAATCCGTATTGGGCCAGCGTGGAGGGTCATGGCTCATACTCCATAACCATCCATAAGGAAGGCCTGAGCCCCTGCAGTGGGGACGTGAAAGGGCTGATGATGATAATGATGAGAGCCCTTATCGTGGATCCCACCTCCCCTGCGATTACCACCAAGAGAAGAGACGAATTTTTCAAGCAATTGTTACTTTCCGCTACTACAGAGCGTATTTTCACAATGTTTTTTAAGCATTTTTCATTAAGAATATTTTTCAGTATAGCATTGTAAATGCAAAATCAATCTAATGATATCCGTTATATTTTCTAGCGGTTTAAACCCGAATTAAGGCCAATCCTTTGAGGAAGACCGATAATCGAATAACCACTGAAATGAAATAAAGGTTCAAGCAGGTATTTAAATATTCATCGCTTAATATAAATAGATTGAAGGTGGCCGTTTTTTCGTGGTAATATTTTATTGGTTAGGTTTCAGATTCAGGTTCTTCATATATCTAGTCCATTTATAAAATGATACCTGTATGTATATAAGCTGACGCTCGTATTTTTCTTAACGCCAGTTCCATGATATTGTGGAGGAAATAAAATAGATGTTGTACATATTTTACTTGCGCTAAAGAATCTGTGTAAAAAATAGGGAGATCGATAACTATTCAGCATTAAAAAAAATTGTGAGTATCGTGATTATCAGTGTTATTAATAAACATGTTTTAACGTTGGAGTAAATTTACGCTGAGACTTGTACTTAGTATTAGTCAAAATTCATTCTATTATACAGAGAATTGGCAAAGGTTAACCTAATACGAGGTTCTACAGGAGTAATATTTACTTCTAGAAAGTAGTAGGTTTGCTAATTCTCTGCATAATATGAATTTGGACCGATACTAAATTTGCAATTTTAGCATAAATTTACTCTGACGCTAAACCTTATTTATTAATAGCACTGTATAATTATTATCCATCCAAACTGACGTTAATACCGTTTTGTTTCATGATGGCGAAAGATAAATTAACTCGTATAAAAAAATGTTCAAGTAATTAAAATGTAAGAAAATAAAGAAAAAAAAATGGAATATGCAACATATTTTACTGTTAATGATATTGCTAAACCTTAATTGATATGTATCATAAAAATAGATGTTTAAGTACTATAATCAGTACTATAAGATCTAACTCACATAGTGTCATATAAGATGTTAAGACTTCTACCAAATATTAATGAAATATATAATTAATCAAAGTGTCGCCACCAAACATTTCTTCCAGGGAGCGCTATTTTTTATTTTGAAAAGGGTCAGGGAAATGGTTTGAGCGATGTCCTTGAATATGGGTCTATTATAGGATTCAGTAATCAACTGCTAGCCCTTATAGTTTCGGTATGTTTATAAATCTGTCACTCCACTTTTTAGTTCTGAGACTGACCGAATGCTAGCGAGCTGTAAATTGTCATACGTATAATTTTAAAAACAGCAATAAACAGATAATTATAAAATCATGATAAAAATAGAAATGTAATTTATTTAGCTGTTTATGGATAATTGCATAAACGTCCAATATAATTGTCCAATATAATTGTAAAAGTTACATTACCAAAAAAAAATTTATTGTACATACATTTTTATCGCTTTGAAACATTACAAAAATCGAGCTTTATATAAGTAATATTTTTAAAGTTTAAGGTTAAATTTGTATTATTTTACTCTCTCTGCCTGCTAAGTCCAATGGTTTTTGGATATGTAAACAAATCATGATTATCTTCTTCGGTTTCGACCACAGTCACTTTTTTACCGATACTACCCGACCTATACATTTTCATTGCGTCAACGTTAAATTATTGTTCATGCGTTTTCTTTCTTTTTAAGAACCCTGGAAATGCTGGCCAAAGTGACATTTTGTACACTCTTACTCTTAGCTTTTAAGATCCATGAATCATATATGTAATAATACTTATGCGAGAGTTCTATATTTTATCCTGCAACGTCATTCTTGTGAGTGTCCTCAAAGAATGTTGGTATCAGGTGTGCATAAAGGTAAAGATTCATTTATCTACAGAGGGATTATGGGATAGTGTGATCCTTTAAAGAGAGTCAATACTATACATATTTATATAGATTTCTTTTATTTGTTGCGTTGTTGTGACATGTTTATTTAATTTACTCTAATCTGCGGAAATCGTGGGCGTTTTCTAGGTGGGTGTTCGTTCATATCAGACTGAACTATAACTTTGATGAATGGATTTAATCGAAACGATAACCTACGACGCAACCCACAAATATATTTTATTCTATTAAAGTATTGTTGTACTGATTTACTGTCTTCTTAAATTTGATTTATATTCAATTTTGTTCCTTATGTTAAACAAACGAGAACACAAAATAAAACCTTTATTCTTTTTAAACATATTTTATATGAAAAGTACGAGCGATGCGCTAAAAGTCGAGCTGCAAATAAATCAAATTAACCTTTTAGAACAAGTGTTTTTAATGCTAAATCTCTAGAAAGGTGGTGAACAAATTGAATAATATTCTCATGGAGTCGGGTAGTTAATTAAAATAAAACCCGTTTTTATTACAAAATTTATTGATATTGCTTGTTAATAAGTATTTTTTTAACGTGTTAGGTTATTTTTTACAGTTTGTTTCTTTATATTAGTTCACCATCTAAATTATTTTACCCTTAATCTCATAACAATCTAAAGAAGGTTAAAGCAATTTTATTTTCATTTTTAAAATGGCTTATATTTGTTTTCCTAAATAAATTATATATGCTCTTCAATGGTTTTTTATTTAATGTAGGTATTATGGTAACGGTAAATATGCTTGCTATATAGGTATGATATGTCAGTCTGTCTCCGACACTCATTGATTTGTCTCTGTAGAATTATTTATTTATATCAAACAGACGAGGGTCAGACAATCCGTTCGACTTTTGTGTGAAAAGGTTAAAAATTATACATACGTAGTTATTTATCGGGCAGTCCTTTTTGTAACCCAAGGTTATTACTACGTTAAAATTCAGTACACAGTATGAAATATCATACTTTATTTATTCATTGTACGCCAACAAATGAAATGGCAAGTGAACATTAATCATTTATTGCCACAAATTTTTACATGTTAAGTTGTAGAGCTCATTTCGTCAGCGAACTCGGTCTATGTTTGTCTTTCACATGTAAGCGTTGGAGGTATATGAGATCTAGGTGCTTATTTGGAAGTTTTATATGTTCCAATATTGTTTTTTGTTATATATTCAAAAAGCTTTTAAATTAGTAAATCTATTTAATAAGAGTATTGAAATGCAATGAACGAAAACATCGGTTGATGTGTTTAGGATTAGAATAAAATTAATAAATATATATTGAAATACCAGTTTCACGTTTTGAGTACTGAATATAAAAAAGGGAGAGCATCTGCCTATTGCCTTTGAAAGGTATTTTTATTCGAAAGAAGCTTTTTGCAATATAAAAGTATTATATTATGGAAAACAGTCTGTAATACTTCAAAAGAGCTTTGATGGATATCAAAGGTCTTTGTACGGTCCTCTACCATGCAAATCTTGTATGAGTTCGAAACTTGGATATTACATTTTTCGGGATGTAAAGAAAGATTATTGTGCTAATACTTTTGGTAGCAAATAACTAAAGCGTCTTTTCCATATTTCCAAGTTGTATTTCATCAGAGTTATGCCTTTTTTAAATAATAATCACCTAACTTTCCTAACATCTAATACGTCTAATATATTTATATATCTGTGTAAACCATATAACATATACACATATAAACCAATGTAAATTGATGAAAGTGGCATTAAAATTCATTGTGTTGTTTATGACTTTGTTACCATGTATTAAAGGGGGTCAGATTGAGAAGAAAGTTGCGTTTTTTTAAATCTTCTATGCGACAAAAATACTTCTATCTATATATATAAAAATGAATCGACGACATGTATACCAGCACAAGGTTTATACATAAGAAAAATTATAAAAAAGAAAACATTATATCGATTTTATAAGAATTAAATGCTAATATCTAAAACAAAAAGTGATTGACGGTATGTGACATTATACTTTGTCAGATCTTTGACGACACAATCGTCGTTTTATTTTCTCAGTCGCGATTCGAGAAATAAAATATGGCGGCACGAAGGTCAACTAGTTTCTATATAAAAATCTTTTTTAATACTCGAAACTCTAACACCCGAATAAACTGCTATTTACATCACAGTTTGAGCACTGATAAAAAATCCTGTAATATTTAAATCAGTGACATATTCATGTTAAACACATTTTTTTTGTCTCAGGTTCACACAGCCGTCCAACAAACTGGTTTTAAACGTGTGAAACGTGGGTTCCGGCCATTAAGGTTGCCGGAGACGGCGCCGGCGGCGGAACCCCGCGACCCATATTTCCCCCTGCAATGGTACCTGAAGAACACGGGTCAAAATGGGGGCAAACCGAAACTTGACCTCAACGTAGAGGCTGCGTGGGCGCAAGGTTACACTGGGGTTAACGTTACAACTGCTATTATGGATGATGGTAAGACGTCACTAAAATATTAATATGTACATAACTTTATTATTATAAATCTATCAATCTATACCTTCATGCCAAAGAATTGACGGTCACAAGGCACGTTCCTTACATACATCTTTCGCTTCCTTCGTTTCCATTACTCTTTTCATACAAATGAAAAATGCTCATAAAATCCACTTTGTCCTGAGGTACTCAGTGATGGGACTCGAACCCACGACCTTTCGCAATCCGGGCGACTGATCTTACCACTGAGCTACCCAGGAACTTACTGTACTGACGAATCTTTCAAGTACTTGATACTTTTACGCTACTACAGAGCGTATTTTCACCAATGTTCAGGCAATCCACCACCGAAAGAAAAATATTTTTACAAACATTTTAAACTTTCGATTAAGATGAAAATTTTGAATTCATAATGCTCTATTGGAAAATATTCTTAATGAAAAATTAATAAAAGTCGTAGATCCAAATCAGAGTTCCACCTGGGACTTAATTATAAGATACCAGGTGCCGGACCTCGCGAGAGGGTAGTACGGAGGGTTTTGCACGGTAGGCTCACTGCACTGGACCGCCGTCCCTTGCAGTGGGAGAGCCCGGTTTCAGTCGGCCTCTAGCCAAGGTCGATGGCATGTTAAGGTCAGTTCCCCTCGGTATAAAAAAAAAGGTCCAAATCAGAGTAACTCGGGAAAATTGACAACGAAAATACCCTAAAATTGAAAAGAGACCCCTACCATTTAAATTTAATGAATTATTTTGTAGGGATGTAAATCACTGATAATAGTTGTTTACGCTACATTCTTCGTCATTTTAACCGTTTTCAATTTATTTCTCGGAATTATTGAGTCGTTTCTCTATTATGTTACGCCACAAAAGATTATATCATGCACCCAGGTTTCCAATTATTGGTTAGTTTGCGAACCGACAAAGTACTTTTAGAAAGCTAGATCAAATTCTCGTTTCTACTGCCACTATATATCAAGTATGTAGTGTAGGTACTGTATATCAGGTAACGTATGATTATTGAAAAGGTACCAAAATGTGATTGACAACTATCATTCTAAGATTACCTCATCGATAAATAGTATTTTTTAAAAGCTAATTCTCCCCAGAGCCAATCTTTGTTTGCTTATTTATTTGTTAATTGGACCCTACAAAGGTTTGGCTCACATCCCCATTTACGCTTTTAAACAATTTTATACACACATGTTTCTTCTATTGTCGAACTATACAAGTAGGTTATATTTATACATTATATGACTTTATTATTATGAAGCATAAAATTTCTTTTGTGTTACTTTTTGAAGTAATTAAGGAAAATGAAATATATATTTTTTTTATCGGTTCATGAAGTGTAAATTGAATTATATTATTAATTTATTATTTCTGTTGCAGGTGTTGATTACATGCATCCGGATTTGAAATATAACTATGTAAGTAACTTGTTATTTAATCACTTTTAATTTTAAGTTCTAACATTTCTCGAAATATTTATTTATGGTCAATTTTTCATACAGAATATTAAATACCTGAAAAAGTCCGCTATTTCAGTAACCAGGCCTAAAATATAACCTCACAAAAAGTTCTTTAAAGTATCTTTCAAAGATAATAACATAAATTAACATTATCATTTCAAAATTATATTAAATAATAATTTTAAACGCATCTTCACCTCAATCGAATATTTAAAATATTTCTTATAACCTATAACATTGATGAAAATATGTTAGTTACTAGCGTCAAAAGTAAAGTTTGCTTCTCGGTTTTACACATCGTAGAATCTACAAGTAATGGTGTACGGTCATTCAATAAATGCTTATATTAAATCTTTTTATTTTCCTTATACGTACGTACGCACAGGCATTTATCTCATATTATTTGTCTCGTATTACGATTCCCACAAAACGTTCTCCGTATTTTTTATTCTACTTTGAAATTTGTTATGCTCTTGAATTCTAAACGAACATTTCTCATTCAGGGTCGTTCAAAGGGAAAGTAATACTGAGAAGCTCATTTCGCTCTCCACGCCCAAATGAAAATTCAAGTTGTAATAACAATTAGTATCTCCGCGTTTATTGCAAAGAAAATGCTATCATTTTGGCCACCTTGCTTGGGTAAATCGTTGTGAAGATTTGTAATATTGCTTTAGAAAGCAAACTTTTTAGTGATCTCATATATATTAACGGAATGTTAGGGCATTTATTTATCTATATTAATATATCTATATCAAATAAATTTGATTGTGACAGTGACTGATATTTGCATGATGTGCTTAATCAAATAGCAATTACAGTTAAAGTATTTCCATTGAATTATTTAATCTTCTAATGTTTGGATTTTGATAGAAATAGCGAATTTATATGAATTTCGCATATACTAGTGATATGTTTATTCAAAGTGGACTATTTAAAGTATTTCATTATAAATTTGGGAGATCTGAGAAGAACCCAAATGAAATTTTGTGAAAGTGTTATTTATTCTTGGTATTGTATTCTACTTTGGTTCATATCCTAATGCTAAAATTTCAGGTTTTTACCTCGTCTGTGTTTTATACTAGAATTTTGGTGTTATCATTTTATTTTAAACATCAATAAGGTTTTTGAGATTTTACACTTAGGGCAAAGAATAGAATTACGATTTAAACTACTTTATTATTTTATGACATTGCCAGGGAATTAATTATAGTCCCCAATCAATTACTTTGCCCATAACAAATGATTACTATCATTACAATAATAACACAAAGAACGCGGTTGTTTTTGTTATCGAACAAAATCTTGTACCCAATTTCAGTGATCAGGAATAAGAAGCTTATTGGACCTCAAGGCCTCAATTCAATTACAGTGACATAATAATGATGTGTTTTTAACTTTTCAAAAATCTATTGTGTCAGTTATTTTTACACAGAAATTTCATAAATAGCGATGACCAAAGGACAGCGTAGTTGTATGCCACAACAGTTTGTTTTATATGCTATATATATTTATATCTGCTAATTAAGCCCTTTCATTTGATACACGCGACAATTGAACAATATTTTTTAGTTTCTTACCAATTTAATGTAACGTCACATAGCCTATAGCACGCAGACACCTAAGATGCTTCTAATGATACATATTTATCCAGCTACGATGAGTAGTTTCGAAGTTATAAGGGAATAAATGAACATTCTTACATATGTACATACATACCGGCCAAAATCACAATCGGGTAAATTAAACTGGATCATTTTTGTGACAACAGATTTGTTAAGAGGCCATTCTAATTGCATTCTAAAAATAATAATGAGAGCCTGGTAGTAAATAAAAGAGGAGAGAGAGAGAAAGAGAATTTTGAAAAATATGTAGGGTTACCTAATATTTAGACTTTACCGTATCGAGATGGAGAGAAAATCTGAGTAAAGTAATGCTAAAAATATAATAAATTTTCTTTGACCTGTTTAATAAGTTTTAATTTGTTACCAGTGAGTGCACGATTCGTAAACAGTAAGTAGGTACGTAAAATTAAACAAAAAATATGGAAACACTATTAGACCAACACCTTATAAGTTTTAATGGCTGCTTTTTAAGGTGCTATAGTAAACATAGAACCCATAAAGTTTCGCCATGTCCGTCTGTACGTCCGTCCGTCCGCGGTTTAGCTTAAAAACTATTGGTACTATAAAGTTGTCCTACCTTTGTCCTACAGACTTTGAAACTTGTATTTATGTTATTGACATGATTTATGTAAATGTCATTACTTATGATAAAAAGCTGGTAAGTTTCTTTCGCTTGTTCTTCTTGTTAGCTAAAAGACGTCTTGAACAAATGGTAGGGGAAAAAATATTTTTGGCGATTCAAAAGTGCTTGTAAGAAGCTGTAATTTAATAATTTCGTTGTAATTTAACATGAGTATAAACGTTAATTATGCCGACGAAACGGTAGTTATATTTAAAAAAAAACAAAAATTTTTTTGAGGTACCTCTCCTAAATGAAAAGTGGTGATGTATTTTTTTAGGATACCTCCACTAAATGTAAACCGTTTGTGACTTATTAAGCTATAAAGAGCTAGTTTTGTTAAAGTCAAGTAGGTATCCTTCTACAAACTAAACGGTCGGTGGTAAAAATTCAAATGTTACATCAGTAGTACCTATATATTACGAATTTAAAAGGAAAATTATCACACTCAAGTTAGGTTTAGAAGTTTATTAGTGATAGTCGACCAATTGCAATTAACTCAAAAAATTTAAACAATTCCATAGAAAACAAAAAAGTATTTTCCTTTTACTTTTTAATGGATAATGGAATGGAACTTTCCTAAACAATTCCATAGAAAACAAAAAATGGTTTTATTTTTAATGGATGGAACTCTTTGTGCACGACTTGCTCCGACTTGCACTTAGTCGGTTTTTACGTTAAATAATACATATTGATAAAATCAATCATTAGTACTTCCAGATAACTACAAACCGTAATTGGAAAAAATTGATAAAAAACAGATCGGACAAATATAAAATTTCTTACAGATTTTTCTGTCATCTTACTCAACTATCTCTATTTTCTGTGTTTATTTTTTCATATTTAGTCCAGTTGTGTTAGAAATTCACGGGTGATCAATGTTCTCCTATTTTTCTGAAATAACCTTAAAATTAGTTATTCCAAAAATATAAATGCGGCACTGGGATGTTATTCAATACAGTTTAATGAAACAAACTATTATAACTTTTCATCATCAGCCGGAAGACGTCCACTGCTGAACATAGGCCTCCCCCTTTGAACGCCACGATGGACGACATTGCGCCAGCTGCATCCAGTGGCCGCCCGCGACTCGGACGATGTCGTCCGTCCATCTAGTCGGGGGTCGACCCACGCTGCGTCTTCCGGTTCGTGGTCTCCACTCGAGAACCTTTCGTCCCCATCGGTTATCGGTTCGTCGAGCGATGTGGCCTGCCCACTGCCACTTCAGCTTACAAACTTTGCGAGCTATGTCGGTCACTCTAGTTCTTTGGCGAATATCCACGTTTCGGATCCTATCGCGCAAAGAAACCCCTAACATAGCTCTCTCCATGCCTCGCTGAGCGACTCTGAGCTTCTCTAAGAGGCCAGCAGTTAAGGACCACGTTTCAGTGCCATAGGTCATCACTGGCAACACACACTGGTTATACACCTTCGTCTTTAGGCACTGTGGTAATTTGGACGTGAAGATATCGCGTAGCTTCCCGAACGCTGCCCAGCCGAGTTGGATTCTTCGAGCGACCTCTTTGTCGAAATTGGATCTACCTAACTGGATTGTCTGTCCAAGGTACACGTAGTGATCGACAACTTCGAGAGTATCAGTTCCAATGACCACTGGTACGGGTGCAACATGGACATTCGACATGATTTTCGTCTTGTTCATGTTCATTTTAAGACCCACCTGTTTGGAAACGATACTCAGGTCGCTGAGCATTGTACTGATGTGCTCCATTGATCTTGCCAAGATGACTATATCATCGGCGAAACGAAGGTGAGTGATGTATTCGCCATTGATGTTGATGCCGTATTCGTCCCATTCCAAGAGCTTGAAGACGTCCTCCAATGCATTCGTGAACAGTTTCGGAGAAATGACATCTCCCTGTCTCACGCCTCTGCGCAATTGG